TATATATGTATATGTATATGTATATGTGTGTGTGTGTGTGTGTGTGTGCGCATTAATCGCATTAATATAGAACGGTAATTAAAGGCTCTAATGCACACCAGCACACCAGTATAGGTGTAGGAGCTAGAATTCTTAGGGGAATATTTTCACCCCTACCCCTTGACACTCTGTTGGGGAAGTGGAAGGGGTATAACATAGAATTGGGATTGGGCCATAGAATAACTGCGTGTTTCAAGGCACTTCAGGGGACCTTTAAGATGACTGAAGTACATAAACTTGACATATGACTTGACATATGACTGAAGGGAGCTGTTTTGGCCCCTTAAATTTATTAAGGTGAAATGGTTACTAAGGAATTTGTAGCAACGCTTAAGGGAGAATAATTAATGTCAGGCTTAAGGTTCCTTAAGTTGACCTTAGGTTTTTTTTTTCAACCCAAGTTTCACTAAGGGTACCCTTAACCTTATAACTAAGGGATTTCTTAGCTTAAGGGCTTTCATGTAACCGGGCCCTGTATGTTACAGCTATTATGACAACAGCAGGACGTGACGACTTTGACTCTGGTGAATATGCCTCTTATTCTTATATATCTCATTTGTTTTTAATAATGCGCGGACACGAAAATGCATCAGTAAATGCATCATTTGTGTGACTGAAATCCAAAGTGATCTCATTGTGAATCTCATCACACACAACAAGTGTGTGCAAAGCCTCATGCACGCTTTTCACCATCGTTTCACATACATGCTGCTTTTTTTCCGTGTCAACACTTCTGTAAACATGTGCATGTCTATTCACCCAGAGGGGGACAGTCCTGGTTCTACTAGGGTGCTAAGCACCCTCAAATGAAAGCAAGAGCACCCTCAGTTGAGGCTGCAAAAGTAGGATATTGGCGAGACAGATCAGGCAAAGCTCCAATGCATATTTGTGTTTGCGCTCAGGAGAGCATCCAAGGATTCTATTTACACTGTGTTTTTACTATTTACATATTAAAATGCACAAAATAAAAATACAGAATACCAGAAATACAACATATAGATCTAATACATGTTACAGAAAATCCACTCATTCATATTAAATGGCTATGATACCACTTTGTGACCTTTAACATCAAGTGGCCACTGAAAGTTGCTCATCAAGCAACAGTTAGTCCACAGTTGGTTCAGACAAGGTCAAAGGTACCGTGGTATCCCAGATATGAAATGTCTTCACTCTTCTGATGGCTCTCTCAACAAGAATTGGAAGACGAGCTATGGCTTGTGTTCGCTCTGCATTTTCGTTTCCTGAACTGCACTGCTGTTTTAAAAGGTGTTATGATGAGTCTGGCCCCACGTTCTGCCAGCATCTTCTCAATGGTCAGCCATGCAAGCATCACCTGGCTCCTGCAAGTCAAGAATCCCTGATTGTTTCATCAACACTTGATCAGAGATGGAACCTGTGTACACGCTGGACACAAAGGTAACTGCTCCACATGGAGCAATACGATCAGCTCCTTGAAGGTATGGCATTTTTATACGACTGGAGTGTGAGTGAAGATGGATTCTGGCACCTTATTTCTATGCAGTCAGTGATGACTCTAACCTCTGGACAAAACTGCCTAAACTTCTCAGGCATGGTGGAATTTACTTGCTGTCCGCTCATCCATATGGGCAAAGATCCAAGATGAGTCAAGAGATAATTAGTCCAAGTTCACTGTGCCGTGATACAACCTGAAATTACTTTACCATCAAAACATAGCATATGTATAAAATATGTATATTTATAACTAATAATAATTTGTGTCTAAATGGATTAAAATGAAATTAAGACTTGCAAGAGGACTTAAATGAAGTAATAATAATCATAATATTTGAATAATAATATATGCAATAAAGCTTATGGGGAAATGTGCTTCATACTTAATGTTTTTTTTTGTTGTTGTTGTTGTAATGCATAAACATACCTGGAAGAGGAGTGACTGCAAGTCTTGGCCTGCTCCAGATGTTACCTCAGGAACGATGTTGTCATCTTGAATGTCATCGGAGGAAAGGAAAGGACAGGACAAGACAGGTGTTAAATCCGTAATGAGCTCTAACCGGTTCGTAAACGGACTCTCGTGAAGTTTCTCTCCAGTTCCAAATAAATCAGCACGCAAGAGTCCCTTTTCTGAGACGCTTACGACTGGTGCCGGCACTGTAATCAGAGTCAGTAAAGTGCTGGTGTTGCACCGAATTCTGTGACCCTAGTAGGCTCTGTAGTGAGGTGGGTTTAGGATTGGGTTTAGGAGTAGTTCACAGAATACAAACAAATGTGCTACATATGAGGACCATAAAAGTCAGACCTTTTACATGTTGAATAGCATGCACCCACTTCTTTCTTTCATGTTCATTGCTTGGAAATGCATGAAAACTCAAATACGGTTGCTGTTGCTTATTATTAGAGCAATGAGGGATGCTACATTGTCACCTCTACGTTGATTCAGCCATTGTTGTTCAACCTGGAAGTTCTTCCATATTCGGAAACCCTGAAGCATGAAAAAGGCCTATGTCGTTTCAACCAATAAGAAAACAGCGTGATGATGTCAAGATGCAGAAGTGGTGAAGCAAGCAATATACTGAGTTTTCGGCAGTCAGTGAAACCTATCGTGCACAGCCTAGAGTGGTTTATTGCTGTTGGAACAGAAATCAGTATGACGAACAGTTCAATATTGAAACTGCTCTGTGGAAAACGGTCTTACAGGATTGCCCCTAAAAAACAGTGTTGAAACCAGAGGGTCAAAAACGGTAGAAAATGGCCATTCATTTCTAAATTATGTTTAATGTAAAAATCTTACATTATAAGTGAACAATTTATGATAAAAAAAATGCAGTTCATGATCCTTTTAAAGTAACAGTGATTTTTTGTGATCAAAATTAACATGGAATGACATTAAAAATGAGCATGACTAATACTGTCAGTATATTTACATGCACTAATCTTTGACAATCAGAAGAAATACAATCCCGTTTCAGATTCTGAAAGTTCTGCTTATATGAGCCTTAAGCTTTGCAATCAATTTCACATATTTGTTTACATGTGCAATATATTTTTTCTGATCAAAAAGTCATGCATGCACAGTGCATCTATTCAGAAAGCCATCGCATTAATGGAGCTACATGAGTAACATTATTATTTATGATTATTGATTATTTCGGTGCATGTAAATGTAGCTTGTGTAAAACAAACTAACAAACAAACAACTCAAAAGCATGTTAAAATGATTTAAAGTAGAGCTTAAAAAGCATGCTAATCCAATTTCCACTGCTTCCACTCACATACGCTTCCAGTGTGAAACAGCCATAACCCCAATCATGCCGTCACAGAATCTATACAAATGCAAAAAGACAGAAATAAATGAGGATATCACAAGCAAAAACTTTTACAACTTTTTCAGTCTAATATCAAGTGATATTTCTTTCTCTATACTGCTTTAATTACCCCATTGGGCGATAACTGGTTCTTTGAAGGTTCTGTGGGACACAAAACAATCATATTCCGATTTTTCATTTTCATTGATCTCCACACTCTTCCTCAGCTGGAGGGTTTCATCATGGTTTGGTCTGATTCCTGTGGATTCAATCTCATCTTCAGGCAGAGATGTGCAATATTTCCTCATAACCAGTGTCATGTCTTTGGGGTAGAAGCCACTGACCAGACAGGTGAGTTTCAGCTTGGTTTTGTCTCTGATAGACCTTTTTGCAAACACATGAACATCTGGAGGAGCTGAAAACACAGGAATCAGTTTATCAGTCCGTTTCATCTTCAACAGCTGCAGAACATAAAACAACTACAAACACATTTACTCACAGGTGTTTCTGAGATGCTCGTTTCCATATTCTCTGAATTTGTTGAGCCAGTCCACACACTCTTTCTCCAGGTAGCCTTTGGTGTATTGGTTTAGGATCGGCACATTGTCCCATTTTCTCTTGGTTGGTACAGCTGCGTCAACTGCGGCGACCCACTGAGACTCTTCAATATCAAAATACAGAAGGTTTTCTCCATCATAGCCGTACTCACTAATGCCTTTGGAAAACTTCACTTCATCTCTCTCCCGTTCAACTTCACAACCGTGTCTCCACTGAAGAACATGAAGATCTGGACAGAGAGCAAAATGACACCTACTCAAACAATGCATAAAACTCTACATAAAAGACAAACAAATACCAGAGGTGGGACAAGCCTGTGCAAAACTTTATAAATGAAGCAAGCAAATTGTGTGTGTGTGTGTGTGTGTGTGTGTGTGTGTGTGTGTGTGTGTGTGTGTGTGTGTGTGTGTGTGTTCAA